TTTAACATGCTTCTCTCAGTAACTTATAATAAGCAGATAGAGAGTCAGTAAGGAGAGAGAGGTGAAATGCAAGATTGACAAACTTAATCTAACGGACATACGTAGAATACTGAATTGAACAAGGGTAGGACACAGAAAACAGTTTCAAAAAAATCAATCAGATTCTATATCATAAAGCAAGTCTCTACATATTTTAAAAGAATGACATAATACAGAGTATGTTGTCTTATCGCAATACAACTAAGCTAAAAATCACTAACACAAAGATTTATAAAAAGTCATGTTTTGGAAATAAAATATTACATTTCTAAATAACACATGGGTCAAAAAAGAAATAAAAGTGTAAATTAGAAAATATTTTTAGCTGAATGATAATGAAAATACTACATATCAAAACTTGTGGGAAGCATCAAAAATTATGCTTATTGAGGGGAATTTTATCAGTTTAATTGCATATCGAGCAATATGAAAGAAGAAAGGAGAAATAATCGATGAATTAAGAGTCTATCTAGAGGAGATAGAAAAATAACAGTAAATTAAACTCAAAGAAAATAGAAGGAAGGAAATAAAATTAAGAGTATAAACTAATGAAATAAAATCAAATATATTATATTCACCTGCTTCTCTGGTCAAGCCAGCCAAGGAAAAATAAAAAAGAAATAACCAATGTCAGAAATGAAAAAGAAGACCTTACTATAGGTCCTGCAGCCCTATAAAATTATAAAAAGATATATTATGTAACTTTATCTAAGTAAATCTTAAAATACAAATGAACTGGATAAATTCCTGAAAAGAATACTACACGTAAAAATTGACAGAGAATAGAAAATTTGAATGATCCTTCCACTATTTAAAGAATTAAACTTACAAATCAAACCTTTACAAGCCCAGATGGCTTCTAACAAACATTCAGGAAGAAATGATGGCAATCTTACACAAACTCTTTCAGAGCATAGGAAAGACATCTACCATTTGCCAACATCTGTTAAAGGACCAGAATAACCCTGTTAAAGAAAATGGCAGGAGGGGCTGGCCCCATGGCTGAGTGGTTAAAGTTCCCAATGCTCACCCAGGTTCATGGGTTTGGATCCCAGGGGAGGACCTACACCACTCATCACCCATGCAGTGGCAGTGACCCACATAAAAAATAGAGGAAGATTGGCACAGATGTTAGCTCAGGGCTAATCTTCCTGAAGCAAAAAAAAAAACAGAAAGATTGGCAGCAGACGTTAGCTTAGGGCAAATCTTCCTCAGCAAAAAACAAACAAGCAAACAAAGACAAGAAATTCCAAGAAAGGAAAATTTCAGGCTAGTCTGACTTAGGAATATAGATGCTAATATCCTGAAAATCAGCTTAGCAAACTAACGCACTAACATCAAAATGGGATTTGGACAATCAGCTTGGTCTGAACTGAAAAGCCAAATCCACACTTTACCTACTGTTTTTTCTTGAACATTAAGAGAAATGCCTTTTTTCAGTTTTTTGTAAGTTTGTTAAAAAGGTAATGAGCAAACCATATGCAGTAATACATTAAAAGACCAACATATGTTGGGCGTGTTCCAGAATTCGAGGTTGTGTTAAGATTTGCAAATCAATGCAATTCACCACATTAATAGAGTAAGGGAAAAATAATCATCTGATTACTTCAGCTGATTTCAATAGATGATATTGATCAAATTCATGATAAAAACTCTTAACAAACTAGGACTAGAAAGAAATTTTCTTAAGCTGAAAAAGGATTTCCCCTCCCAAAAGAGCCTTTAGAAAATATCATACTTAATGGTGAAATATTGAAAGCTTTCCCTCTGGGATTAGGACAAAGACAAGTTTCTTAGTTTCCTAGTGCTGCCGTAACTAAGTACCACAAACTGTGTGGCTTCAAACAACAGAAGCTTATTGTCTGACAGTTCTGGAGGCTAGAAGTCTGCAATCAAGGTGTTGGCAGGGCCATGTTCTCTCCAAAGGCTTTAAGGGAGGAGCCTTCCTTGCCTCTTCCTAGCTTCTGCCAGTTGCCAGCAATGTTTGGTATCCCTTGGCTTACAGATACATCATTCCAATCTCTGTCTCTGTCTTCACATGGTATTTTCCTCTGTGTATGTTCTTTGTCTCTCTTCTTTTATAAGGACACCAGTCATATTGGGGTCAGCATACTCTACTCCAGTATGGCCTTAACTTATTACATCTGCAAAGACCCTATTTCCAAATAAAGTCACATTCACAGATACTAGGGTTTAGGACTTCCATATATCTTTTGGGAGGACACAATTTAACCCATAAAATAAGAACTCCCACTACTGCCACTTCCTTTTGTACTAAAGGTCCTAGCCAGTGCAATAAGGCAAGAAAAAGAAATGAAAGGTATACAGATCAGAAAGGAAGAAATAAAACTGTCATTATTCATGGATGATATAGCTGTCTATCTAGAAAATCTTCAATAATTCACAGATAAATTATTATAATTAATAAGATTAACAAAGTTGATTTATTCAAGACCAATACACAAAATTAATTTTACAATATAATAGCAACAAATAGGAAAATAAATATTTTAAAGGGTATAATTTACAGTAGCATAAAAAAACCAAACACCTTGAAATCAATCTAACAAAATATGTATAAGTTCTCTAGGTAGACACCTACACAATTTTGCTGAAATTAAGGAATACCTAATAAATGGAGGAATATGACATGTTTATGAATTGGAAAACTCTATATTACAAATATGCCCAGACTTTCCAAAATGATCTATAGATGCAATGCAATCTCAATCAACATTCAGTTTGTGAAAACTGACAAGCTGATTCCCAAGTTTAGATGGACATGAAAAAGGTCAAGAACAGCCAAGAATCTGTTGAACAAAGTGAGAGGACTTGTACTACAAATAGGAAGACTTATCATTAAGCTATATTCATTAAGACAATGTGATATTGGCACAAAGATAAACAAATATGACAATGGGACAGAAGAGATGGCTCACAAACAGACCCATGCATGTATGGACACTTGTTCCATGACAGAAGTAGCATTACAGAGCAGTGAGTAAAGGAGAGACTTTTCAATAAATTGTGCTGGGACAAGCAGACAGTCACATGGACAGAGAAAGTGGATCTGGACACTGCCTTGTGCTGTGCACCAAAAGAGCTACACGCAAAAACATGGATGCATTTCACAAACATAAATTTGAACAAAAGAATACATCATATAAGATTCCATTCATATAAGATTAAAACAGAACTAAACCATAATGTAAGAAGTCAGGATTGTGATTAATTTGGGGAGAAGAAAGTGCTAGTTATTGGGAGTTGGTACAAGAGGAGGTTCTAGAGAGCTGGTGACTATCTCATTTCTTTGGGGAGGGGGTGGTTCTAGTTGTGTTTGCTTTGTGATAATTCTTTGATCTGTACATTTACATTTTGTGCACTTTCCTTTATTTGTATCAATCTTCCCAGTAACAAGATTTTTAAAAAGAAGTTGGACAGAAAAATTCATTCATTGAACAAATATCGACTGAGAAATCAGTATGTACCAGGCATTGGACTAGATCCGGGTCATCAAAAGGAATAAATACAGGCACCCTCCCTGCTCTGGTGGCACTTCCACTGTGATAGCAGAGACAGACAGAAACAACTGCAGTACCGAATACAGGTAAATATATGCAATTACTCAGTGAGGAGGTGCCCTGATACCCTTAGCTGGCTACAAAAGGGGGGCCTCTTTCTTTATTGGAGGTGGGGGTGATGAGGGACACCACTAGCTCCTTCTGCACTGGACTGAATTGTCAAAGTAGTTCAGAAGAGTTCTACCACCCCTCAAAAACGGCGCTTACTCCTTTCATATATCATGAATGCTTCCAATGTCATTTTAGATCTCCACTAGCTACACGTCGGAATCCTATCTGCTTACCCAAGGGAAATCTTGGCTTGAAAGTCATGGCACCACACCCTAAGAAAACCAACAGAATACCATTATTAATTTGTAGTTTATTTGGAGCTATTACTCTAAAATGAGAAAGTCCTTTTGAAGTCCTAATTCAAAAAGCATTGAGTTTTAAAATAACGTTTTCTTGATTATAAAATACATGTTCAATGTACAGCATCTGGGAAATCAGAAAATTACAAAGAAAACAAAAAACCCAGAACTCTATCACCATAGCTACCGTAAATGTTTTGGTGCCTTTCTTTCCATTTTTAAAATGCCTTTATATATTTATTTTCACAGTCGAGACCAGAATTTCTCTGTGATTTGGCAACCTGAGTTTTCCATCTAAAAACATAATGAGCCTTTCCCCATGTCATTAAATAACCTTCCCAAACATAATTCTTAAGTTTGTAAAAATTAGATCCCCGACTTGAAACATCTCAGTGAGAGGTCATTCATCATGTGTAACCGAGCGAACCCATCCAGGGGTCGGTCCCAAAGTTCTGACAGGCGTCCAAAATTTAGCTCAAGCCTCTGATGGAACATTGGAACCTGGCAGGCGACGCGGAGGCTGCTCCAAGGGCAGCTGCGGTCGGGGACCAGGACGGTGCGCAGAGTGCCCCGCCCCGCGGCGCGCAAGCTGCCGGGCGGCCCCGGAGCCGGAGCGTCCTCGACTTTTCCGTCCGCCGCCCTCGCGCCTACGCGGTAAGTTCCTGGAGATGCCCCCGCACCCTCAGCTCCTGGGCTCCAGCCGAGCCGACCGCGCCTCGCCGTGGCGCTGCGCCCGAGCCGAGCAGGGGGGCTCACTGCCGGCCCCGGCGCCCCGCGCCCCCGCCGCAGGCGCGGCAGGAGGACCGGGCAACGCCCTCCGCTGCGCGCCGCTCTGAGTCCCTAGTTCGGGTCGCAGGGCTGAACTTGGGAGGAGCGCGCCCGGGTTCCGGCCCTGCCCCGACCGCCCCAGCCCCAGCCCCAGCCCCAGCCCCCGCGCCGGGAGCGCGCAGGCGCCGCCGCCCGGGAGTCCCGCCAACTGGCCGGAGCGTGCTGTCGCGCCCGAGCCGCTGCCGCCCCTGCCACCGCTCACCATGGACCCGGGGCCCCGGCTGCTGCTCCCTCTCGTGCTCTGCGTGGGGCTCGGCGCGCTCGTGCCTGCTGCGGGGGCCTCGGGCGTGCGCAAGCGAGGTCCCTCGGTGACAGCCAAGGTGACCGAGCGGCGGGCAGCAACTTCCCCTCGTGCCGGCCAGGGGGAGAGGGGAGCGTGGAGACTGGGACCTCAGGGTCAGGGGCGGCGCTGAGGGGCTTGCCGGGCGCTGAGGACGGGAGGCGGCGGGGGCCGGCGCCCCTGGGGGACTTTGGGGGCGCGGGGCCGAGTGCCGGCCCGCCCCCGGCGCCGGCTGTTTGAACTTAGGGTCGGTGGTCCGACGTGACCAGCCCGGGGACCAGGAGAAGCTTCCGGAACCGGTGGGTCCTTTCTCCAGGAAGGAGACAGCCCGAGTACTTCCTTCGGCGTGGCGGGGACTCGGGAAGAGAAGCAGGAAGAATGCGGAGGGACGGGCCCGAGCCGAGGGGTGGCGGCCGTGCCGGCCTGGCAGAGCCCGGGCCGCCCTCCCGCGGGTGCCGTGCGCGCTCCCCGCCGGCCCGCAGCGCGGGCCGTCCGCCTCGCCTCCGCCAGGGAGCCCTCGGCCTCCCCGGCCGGGAGACGGGCGCTTTCAGACTTCCGCGGGCGGGGGGCGGGGGGGTAGGGTAGAGCCTGGGCTGGGAGGGGGCCAGCGTGGCACGGTGGCACCTGTGTGACTGAGGCCAGCCTTTTAATCTCGATTGGGGGGGAAAAATCTGCCATGAACTGCGTCTGTACAGCTTCAGTTCTTTTTTCAGCTTATTTACCCAAGGTTAGAAGATAATGGGAGGGAGCAGGGAGAGGAGGAGGAGGGAGGGAATGATTGGGTGGTGCCCTTGATCGCCACTTCTAGAAAAACCCACAGGCAGTAGTGTCTTGGAATCTGGAAGGAGGGGCAGCTCTAAGCGACCTTAACAATCAGCCCGGTGTTTGCCAGTGGAAATGATACTGTTGAACTGCTGGATGCTCAAATGCTCCACCACAGACCCTGCCCGAGGAGGTGGAGGACAAGGCGGGGCGGGGGCTGTGCAGCCCAACATCTGATGTAGCCTAAGAGGGAGCCGAAGGCCACGCTATGCTGTGTGTGTGTGTGTGTGTGTGTGTGTGTGTATGTATGTGTGCACGTGCGTGTGAGTGTGAGATAAGTTTAGCCTGATTGTATTGAGCACTGATTCTACTCCCAGCCCCTCTGGGGCAAAACTGGATAGTTTTGGGAAATGGCTTGTACAAGGCCACAGAACTGAAGGGCTGAAGTAGGGTGGTTCTTTCAGTCTGCAGATACTATTTGGGTCTCTTGGGATACAACTATAAACATAAAATTTATAAAATTCTGAAATGATGAAGGAAATAAACCCTAGTATAGATTGGGTGACACTTAAAGCTATCTGAAGGATAAGGAAAAACAGGCTGGCAAAGACTTAGGAGGCGAAGGGAACTGCATGTGCAAAGGCCTCCAGACAGGATGGAGAGAGGGGACAATGGCTTCAGCCCAGGGATGAGAGAGGAGTGGCTTAAGGTGAGGTTGGAGGGGTGAGCAGCAGCAAGATCATGCAGGACCTTAGAGGCCACAATTAGGAGTGTGGGCTTGAGGCAATTATTCTTATAATTTGAGGTCTTCTTTAAGAGCAGTGAGATCGGATGCAGGGTTTTAAGCATGGGATGACATGATCTCATACATGCTTTTAAACAATTACTGTGGTCGCTGAGTGGAGAGTGAACAGGAGGGTCATCCAGGGCTCCATGGCAGAATACAGATGATGAGGCTTGGATTCGGGTGGTAATGGCAGAAATGGGGAGCAAGGGAGGGACTTGAAATAGGTGTTTGAAGTGGAACAGAACTTGCTGACGGTTTAGATGGGGGTGGGGGGGAGGGAGCAGGATTGCCTGATAAAATACAGGTTGCTCGGTGAGATTTCGCAGTGTGAGGACATGACCTGCCCTATTTGGGCACGAGCTTCACCTGGGAAGCTACCCGAGCAGAGCAGAGACCCACCCCAAAGCAGGTCAGTCACAATCTCTGGGGGGCTGCAGCCGGGGTTGAGAACAAGAACCTCTAGAAGAGGGAGCCAAGAGGGCAAGAGCTGGAGCATCTTAGCCCCCAGCCTAGGGTGCTGCCACTGAGGGAGTTTTCATGTGCTCTACCCTGGGAATCGTCACTTAATGTATCTCCTTTATTTCCCACCAAATTTATGATGAAGTTCTAAAAGCTAATTGTGTAGGCGAGTCTCCTATAGATATGACTCTGTTGAATTGCTTTTTCAGTGGACTTTTTAAAACAACTAAATCTATTGGAAAACAGAGACATTAAAAAGTATTTCTCTTAAGTGCGGAGAAGCAGGTTCATTGGCCATTGCTCTAATGTATTGCTTTCCCCAGCAGTCTTTTCCTTTTCCTCTGATTTCGTTTAAAAATGGCAATCTGTAAATAAGAGAGGTGTGAAGTGCTGTCCCCCCACAGGGCCATTTAACGGCACTCACTGTGTCCATGAGTCCTGCTGCCAGCCACCGCCTCAGCTTTGGGGCTCTGGCTCCCTGGTCTCAAAATCCACTGAACTGGCATTTGCAGCCCTGCGTTTTCCAGCAGATGCTATAGGTTCTGTGCAAAGTCAGGCGCCCAGAGTATAGAAAACAGTGCTGCCATCCTTCCAGCTGCACTCACATCACAGCTTGCTGGCACTTTCTACAGCATGGAGTAGCCAAGATGCTATAGCTGGGTGACCGTGGACAAGTTATCTAATGTCTGAGGCTCTGTTTCCTCCTCTGTAAATGGAGACAGAAAGGATACCTACCTTGGAGGGGGTTACAGATTAGGTGTAATAAACCAGGTAAAACGCTTAGCCCTGACGTAAGTTCCTGATTTAAGAGGTCAGTTGTTAGTGTTGTGTTATAAATCCTGCTGTGGCAGCGCAGCCCAGAAAGGAATCATCATCTGTGGTCCAGATGAGGAACAGGAGCTCAGAGTTTAATTAACTTGCCCAGGGGCCCATGCCAGTTAGGTGGAGCGGTTTGAGAACAGTTTCCTTGACATCATAGCTCATGTACTGGGTGTCTTCCCTAGTTACTTTGGAAATGGAAGCAAGATGAACCCTAAGGAGTTTGGGTCAGGCTGTGTGAGTGCCTCTTCCCTCCTGTCCCACCTCTCCCCACCTCTAGTGCCCCATAATTTTTAAGTGACTTTCAAGGGCAACCTCAAGGGAAAAAAGAAGTGACTGAGGTGCTCACTCCTGAAGTGCAACATGGAGTCCAAGTACCACCTTTTCCAGGAAGCCCGCCCTAATCCCCACAGATGATCACCACCTCTAACCATGACATTTTATCTGTACTTGGCTTCTTATACACCTGATTTCCCATTATATCGTAGCTACTTGTGGACGTGTTTTCTCTTCTGTGGGACTGTAAGCTCCTGGAGGGTGAGGGCTTTGCAGCCCCACCCCTTGTCCAGCACAAGGCCTGTTCCCAAGGGCATGCACCAAAGTCAGGATCTCAGGATGAGGGGGTGTAGAGTGAGGGGTTTTGCCTGGCAGCCCCCTCGGGCCCACCTTCACGCTCTGTCTAGCTGTGTGCGAGCACCCTCGTCTTCATTTAGTGTCACCTGGCATTGAACTATGTAGCATTTTTGAGTACCTGCGTGAGCCCACACTGTGCTAGGCACTGCCCCTTAGGGGTCCCTGCCTCGACTGAGAGAGCCATATTAATGATGAATTGCGGTGCAGTTGGGTGCAGCCTTGGATGGAAATTGTGGCTTTCACACTCCTGCTTGGGAAACCTTGGTAAATCACTTAACCTCCCTAATCCTCAGTTTTCTCATTTGTAAATTGGTGATAATAGTACCTTCCCCTCCCTGCAAGGATGTGGTGAGAGTTAACTATATAAGGTATGTGGGCAAAGTGCAAGGAGACACCACTGACACGTCATGTTTGTTTCCTTCCCTCCTCCCCCTCCTCCTGTTTCTTCCCTTTATTTAAATGCCTCTCCCCTCTCCCCATCCTGACATGCCCTCAGCCACTGCCCCAGTGCATGCCACATGACCTCACTCCTGACAGGTCTAAGAGCCTCCAGATTCTCCTCCCCCGACTTGAGTATAATATTCCCAAAGTCTTGCTTGGGTCCTGTGCTTTCCCTTCTCTCTGATGCCTAACAAAACGTGGGGCTCTTAGCTGGCCTCCTTTCTCAGCCTCTGGAACTGGGGCAGGTCCCCTCTTAGCTCGCTGTGGTCAGAGGGGCTGCACTGCTTCTCTGCACACGCACCACGTTTCCTGCCTTGGTTGCCTGGGTTCCAGAAAGAACTCTGCCGGGCGGGGCTGGTGCCCCTTCTTGTCCCTGGAGGCTGCTCCGCTCCTTCCAGGCCTGCCTCCCATCACACCTTCTCCAGGATGCCTTCCCGCAGCGCTGACCCTTCCCCAGGCCCGGGTAGATGGGGCACTTGTCACATGCTGCCCTGGACTGCGGTTATCCCTTTACTTGTCGTGTCTTTTCATGTAAGCCACCTCAGGACAGGGACTCTCTCGTGTGGCTCGTGCCCTCACGTTGCCTTTTACACAGATCTTTGATAAATACTTGTTGATTAAATAAGATTTGGTTTTATCATTTCCATCAGAGTTAGGAAAACTGCTGTATTTTCTTGCCATCACTGAAGTTCAAGGGCTCTGCAGTTTGGAAAATAATCATATTAATATGTATGCTAGGCCGTGTGTAAGAAAATAAGATTTTTATTGAAGAGTTATGCTGGGTGACAGGCACTTCTTCATCTTCTCATGCTGCTCTCCCATGTTTTATTCGCTTTGCTGTGTATACATTCACAGGCTTTATTTTCTCTTATTTTAAAAGGCTTTCGGCTTTTCTAGCATCTTATATGGTGTTTCTTTAAGGTCACGTCCCTGATTCTTTTCCCGGTGGTGCTTCATGGCTGCCAGTTACTGAGTTTACTCCTTGGTTTGGAAATCCCTTTGGAGAAACTGCTTCTTTTTGACACCAGCTCTGCCTGCAGGGCCAGGCTCATGCTCTCGTTAATGCGACTTCCTGTCCCCCAGCCACGCTGAACTGTGCTCCT